TAACAAGAAATCTTACTCCCTTCCTTTCCTGATACAGGAGATGCAATCTACTGTTGTGTTTACACTCTGAGAAACCAGACTGAAACAAAATACATCTTACTACTCAACATGTAAAAGGAGCTGACTTGTGGGAAGGGGAACATGAAAATCCAAACATTCAAACCCTCCAGGATCCAGCTCCGTTATCTATTCCAAGGAAAAGGGAACAAGAAGATACTTGAAATGGAATCTAATTATTTCTGTCTCCAGCTGAGCAAATAAGTGTGATGCAAAAACACATCTCTCAAGGTGAGATGCTGCTATTTCAAACGTAAAGTTTCCTTAAAAACTTCTTGAACTCTCAAGACCGGAGGGTCTATGTGGGATTGAAATGCCAATGGGATTATAACCAAATTATGCAAATAAGACTATCAAAGGGTTACCATGATGACTTTGGTACTATGTCAGCGTAACTTCCCTGGAATGCAGGTTTTTTCCACCCTTACACAAATAATTTTAGATTGCACTTCTAAGAAGGCTCTAAGTGGAAATTTTTACCTGAAAACAGTCTGCTAGCATTTCAAGCCGTTGATAACATTATTTGAAATGTTTGTTATACAGACATATTTATTATGCCTTAGTAGCCAGTATTTTAACTGACAAATCCTAAAGAAGATTCTACCACTGATTAAAATTTCTATGAACCTTATTCCTTACTGCCTTTTTCTTTTAAGATTTCCTGGTATCAAAGCAGGCTCTCATTCCTTTCAAAGTCTCACACAGGTAGGGAAAATACCTGATGGATGTAACATTCAGTAACTTTTTACTGCCTCTCAATGCAGATGACAAGCTTTGCAGAGATTTAATTCAAGGTTTGACCTATACCAACTCGGGTTTGTTCTGCGGTCAGAAACAAAGATGACTTTTTATCTTCTCTGGCAGCTGTTACAACAAGGTCTGGGAGCCTCTGGTCTAGACAATACAACCAGCTGGCTTTGAGCTGAGCTACTTCCTCCTACAAACAGCCACTGTGATGGCCAGGAAGCCTGAGAGAGATTTATTTCATTCTGATAAACACTGCCTGTTTCGAGGGCCAGACTGCCAGCTGTTTACTTTCCTCTCTTGCAATATGATATTCATCCATTGTTTCCAGAGTGGGGTTATATTTGTGGCCCATGAGCTGTAAAATGCTAAAGAGCTAAAAATCGGAGTGAAAAGTTCTGGCAGGGGGCATAATCAGCTTGGTAAAAAAAACCAAACAGGTAGATCCCAAACAGTTGTCTCGTTTGGGCAACTGCAACAAGCAGGTGACCAACCCCAAATGACACAATGAATGATTTGCAGGTACTACCCTGCACAGAGAAATGCTGCCCCTCAGTGTAAGGGGCATTTGATTCTTCTCCTTTTCCACAGAAGGTAAAGAGTTGCTTGAGATCAGTTTTCTAAACCAGATCTACCTTGAAGTGAGGTTTAAAACAAAAGATATTTTGACTTCCTGGAATCTCTTTAAAAACTGTTTTGTAAATAAGTCACATCCCTGCTTCAAAAAAAGGCAAATTTCACCATGTCGTATGAAAAAAAAAAAAAAAAACAACCAGAGAATGCTTTTATGTTGAACTCAATGAGAAGTTCACTCAGAGCTAAACATCTGGTTAGAATCCCTCAATCATTTGTACAAATTTCTGGAAGGCAAATGAATTCTTCTATTTCATCTACTCTTAATCCTATCTGAGCACAGCAAAGGAAGGCAGATTCCTGGCCTTTCCATTCCTTACAGTCTGAAGTCCTGGAAACCTAAAACAAATTTGATGTGACTTTGACCTATAAAAACCAGAAAGAAGTTCTGATCTAATGCAAGACACTGAAAGACTTCAGTGCTTTGGAAGGAATGCAGACAGCCCGGATGGAATAAATCTCTCATTTGTAAACGGCATTTTTACATTACTTACAGAATTCAAAGAAGCTGCTGGAGGATGAGGGGAAGAGTCACAGAAGCCTATTATTTGGTAAGAGTTAGAAGTAATTTTGCAAGAAACTCACAATTGAACAAGCAGTAGATATTTTAAAAGGTCGGTTTAAACCATATTTCCATATTGATAAGCTTTTCAATAAGCTTTTCCATGTGTACATGACTGTACAACCTGTACAAAACTTTTAAACAACAATGCTGCTACACTGGGAAACATCTTAAGTTTAACTAACTCTTCATGGCACTCACATAGGCAAAGACAATGGTATTTTAAAATGTGCTTAGAGGGTTGGCCACAATCCTACTAGAAGCCTAGTCTTTGCTATCTGGAGCATAACATGCTTAAGATTACTGATCTTCACACAATCAATTTATATTTCTAATAGAAAGGGTGCTAGACGTGGCACAGACACAGAAGTACAACCTGTACTTAAAGAAGCTGCCATATAGCCTTCTTTCAGAAGCACTTTAATTCTTGCAATCTAGTCACCTATTTTTCAGCATTCAGTCTTCAATTTTTTTTGTGTCTAAGATGACTAAGGCAGGATAAACTACCACCTGAATGCCCAGAATACCTATGATTCTTGCCACGTTGGCTGCTGCACTGTCAGCCCGGTGGGTTACTTCTCTCTGCTAAAGATAAGGGGTCTGTGGTGACATTACAGACTTGTCAGATTCCTAGACAGGTACCGATAAACACGTTCTGCCCCCTCCTACAAGAAGAAACTCAACCAAGTAGAGTGGATGGCACTGTGATACTGATTGAGATGTGGGGATCTCCTGATGAAGAAAAGAGACACCCCACGCAAACATTCCCAAGAGCCTGCAGTAATTCCTATCCACTAGCACATTGTATTCTACAGTTTTGTCTCACCTTCTCCAGACAACACTGCAGGCATCTGGCTCATGTATGGTAAATATTATAACACAGCTGCAATCAAACTGGCCACAAGCACTAAAGACAAAGGCAACGCTGAGGTTCTGCAGCTGCAAGGGCTATGCAAGTCCTGCCACTGACTGTGGCTGCTGCTCATTCCCAGCTGGAACTTACAGGCTCTGATGGTGCCAGCGAGAGCAGCTGCTGAGCTTAGGAATGTTCTCCCCCTCACCTTCATGCCACTTTTACACAGTCACAAGTGCTTTTAGTTAAATAAGATCTGTTTTGCATCCAGTCTTGCTTCTAAAAAATTTTTGTTATTTTTGAGCCCACAGGGCCCTCCTGAAACACACACCCAACAGTATTATTTCTGTACTCTGACTGGAAGGTTCTGTTCTCCCTGCACTCTGCAAAATTACAAGGAGCTGAGGCGCTACAATAAACAGTGCAGGAATTACATGAGCTGCCTCCCTACAGTCTGCACCAAGAACCTCTTGGGGATTTCTGCAGGCAACACACAATTCTCTGGGAGCACTCTCAGTTCCAGAGCGATTATTCTATCCTGTTGGGGACCATATTGGGACCAAGTCTATTTAGAACTGAGAAGTTCATTTATTTTGAAGAGATATAGCTCAGGCCTCTAAGCCATGCATGACATGACTTGCAAGGAGATAAGCTGGAAGCAACCTGAACGTCTTATTTGCCACCATGAAGAACAACACTGAAGTACTGGGATAACTCAAGGTGAAAAAAAATTGCAGAAATATGCACAAATACTGTGGCATTCTTTCTCTAGACTTCAACTCCTCTCCCAGCCCATTTTACCCTCTTGTTCTGAATGGAAACAAAATATGTGGAAAACATCTGCCCATTATATTCTTAGCTGACCATTTATAAGAACCTTTCCTTTCACATATTTCAAAATAACTGAAGCACACATAGAAGGCTAATCCAGCTCTGGCAGGTGCATCTGAGTACCAGAAAAAACAAAATCTAGGCTCCGGTGTGCTCAATCTCTCTCTCTCTCTGCTCTTTGGCTTCAATACCACATTTACTGAAACTCATTAGACTGCTACAGGATACAAGATAACTCAAAGCAAGCTGGATTTCACAGATTTCACAGAATATTCTTAGTTGGAAGAGACCCACAAGGATCGAGTCCAGCTCCTAAGTGAATGGCCTGTATGGGGATCAAACCCACAGCCTCACTGCTATCAGCACCATTCTAACCAAACAGAAGGCTCCTGACACTCTGCACGACACAGCAATTTGAAGCTGTAGAGATTGTATAAATTTAAGCAAAATCAATCATTTTAGGAATTCTTGGCACAGTTAAGTCCATACCTCAGTGCAGAAATACTAGTATCTGCATGCAGAGTGCAGATTGTCTCCATCTACCCTTTCCTGTAAAAGTTTTAACTCTCTATAATGCAGACAGCATACTGCAAGTCGAAGAAACCTCAGGGATGTAATAGTATCTTTCTATTTTATTTTTACAGTATCTGCCTGGCTGGCAGTTTCTGTAGAAATGTCACCAAACTAATTTGATTCCAGGTCTGACTGGCAACATGTAAGTCCCTGAACTCTTCCACAGGATGCAGGATTATATGGTTTATAGTCTGCTTGACAATTTACCACTTGCCTTCACATATTTTCCTTACCGTCTTTCTTGTTTCACACACTGAAGGAATCGCCTCCCCTCTCTCACAAAAACCAAACTCGTCTTTCTATTGTAGCCCCTAAAGAGTTACTTAAAGGAGGAGATACAAGGATCCCTTAAAAAACTTCTATAGGCAGAGATCAAAAGCACAGCAGTGCCCCAAGGAAAGAAAACAGTGACTTCCTATGGAGTCCGGGGCAGTAACTCAGCCCCAGATGGACCTCCCCATCTTTCTCTCCTTTTTACCTTTTAAATGTGTGGTTTGCTAAAAGCCTTTTGATGATCTAAAAAAAACATTTGGACTTGCAGGAATAAAACAATCAACATCACAGTGAAATAATAAGAGAGTCCTGACCTTCTAAAGAACACTCACATTCTGTTGGAAGAACGTAGGAAATGAATGTGTTCAACAAGAGAAGAGTTTCCAGGAAAGTATAATTTTTTAATTTTTTTTTTTTTTTTTAACTGGCAAGTCAAAATGAAAGTGCAACTGACTTCCAGATGAGGGTGTGGTGCTTGAAGACAAAATGCAATGTGTCAGACCAATTCAGACCACTCCACCGAAGCACATCTCAATTGCAGTACCTGCTACTCGTCTGCTGACAAAATAAGGTTAGTTTTAATATTTACTGCTCTGTATATTGTGTGATATACTTAGCTTATTTACATGCATTTACTCTTAGTTAAGTTGGCTTTACAGAGAGACATCATTTCACTAAGGCACACGCTCATTTCCAGTATCAAAATTAAATTTGTTGAGGTAGAAGGATAGAATATTGCTTCATTCATTAGAGAAAAATAATCTTTCTGTTTAAACTGGGGATATTAACTTCATTCAACATGCACTCATACAATCCTATGTCAAGTTTAAACACACAGAAACACTGAATTTGTATTTGACTGGAAGGCTGGAATAATTCTGCAAGAAAGCAGGCAGCTGCAGAGTTAATATAGCTATTAATACACTTCCTAGAAAACAGTATTTGAAAAATCAGCAGAGCTTCTGAGCTATTTGGGTTCTTGTGGGCAGTTTGTATGTGATAAGATTCCTTTCCGTCATAACATCCTGAGAAACCTCCAGCTGCAAGATGCAGTGTACCTGTAACAATCTGCTTCTGTAAGAGGTTGCACGTGGGCATGGCTCTCTGTGTGGGACGGAGACTAAACTAAGCTTGTTCCACCAGTGTTCAGCACCCAACTCCCACGGGAATAATCTGCTTGTTGTAGAGGGCACTTATACGTGTGCCTGAGAAACAACAGTAACAGGAATCACAAATATGAACAGGTATGCTAGCCAAAACACAAATGTGTTTTTAAGGGAGAAATATCAACTGCTGCATTTTAGGTAGCTTTGTTTCTGACAAAAACTCAGGGCAGGCAAAAGCCTATCGGGCAGCGAAAGCACAGAGTGACAGCCAAAGTGCTTTGTTATACACAGACTTCTTGAAGTTTGCACTGAAATGTTTACTGCTTTGCTTTCAAGCGAATTTGCTAGAGATCCAATTTGATTAAGCATTCCCAGCTGGGTTCTGTAATTAAGTGCTTTAAGACCACAACTACATCTTTTCAGTTTAACTTCTAATTTTCTTCAAATCTTGGCTAAGTGGATTAAACCTTTCTTGCAGCAGTTTCTCTTCTATTAAAAAAAAAAAGATTCACTTGCTGCTGATAACTAAATCTCTTCTCAAAGCACCGTAAAGCTGCAAAAGATTACTGCTGCTGGAGAATCCTGCGAACAGAGCTTGTTAGGGATAGAACAAACATTCTGTGCCAAAGCACTAAATAAAATGACTGTACTTTTCCATTCTGCACATCTCATTTAGGGGACAGTAAATGGCAGATTGTAAGACTTAAAATAAGAGTGATCATTGTTTAAAGTTTAATGGGGACTGTTTTGAAATGTTAACAGAATAATCCGACGAAGTCACTAAGGATAAAGCCAAACCAAACAGTTAATTTCAAACTACTACACTTCTTAAAATATTTGGCTATCAGAATCACTGAAAAAAAATAATCAAACAAACACAGAAATTATTAATTTCTCTCTATTTAGTTGGTCTGCATCCCTTATCATGAGATCAATCAGTAACTTATTTTTTCCTGGTAGACAAAATACATTAAAAAAATTTAAAGAGACACTGTTTATAACAAAGATTTGGGAACCTTTCATTTAAACCATTGTCTAAAAACCAGACATTATATTTGGGGTATTTTGCAAGCTTGAAAAAGCTGAATTGTAGCTCTGGGGCAGAAAATCAGATAACAATCTGCTCTCAGCAACTCATATTCTGAAACACTGCAGACGATGAGAAAGGGGGGCATATGTTTTTCGTTCTCAGCTAGTTTTTGCTACTGCAATTAAGAAACCTTAATCCCATTTATTTCAAGAAATCAGGGCACTGCAGGGCTGTAGTTTACAATAGAAAGAATTTCAGCACATTAGTCAATGAAAACAATTACAGGAAAAGAAGAAAAGACTGTAGGACACAACTTGCTTCAGACACAATCTGAAGATAGGAACTTCAACCCTAAGCTGGCAGTGAGAACACAGCCTTAGTGTTTACGGAGTAAACTTGTCATGAGATCGTACTGGAAAAAACAGCAGAGCTTCTGAGCTGTTTGGGTACTTGTGGGCAGTTTGTATGCGATAAAATCCCTTTCTGTCATAACATCCTGAGAAGCCTCCAGCTGTGTACCCGCAGCTATCTGCTTCTGCAAGAAATTCCATGCGGGCAAAGCTGGCTTTGTGGGATAGAGACTGTACTAAGTTTGTCCTACTGCTGGTTCAGCAACAGATTCCACCTCCACTGCTGTACTCTCTGCAATGGGCATGTATATGTGTGCCTGAGAAACAGAACCACTCTCCTTATATTATCCTCCCATCTGAAATGTGTCAAAATTTATGACAGCAGGCACCAAATACTGCTGTTTGTCTCTCAGTTTTAATCTGCTCGTATTCCTTCTGCACTCGATTGTAGCAGCATTTACAGCCTTCAGCTGGTACTCCTTGCAATCTCAAATGCTCACGTTAATGGGAGCATTTCTGTCGAATCCATCTTACATTGTACTGCACGCACAGATGTTGTCAGTTACTCTAATCCACGTGAGAATTTGAAACTCTGTTATGCCTCCATCACCATTTAGGTCTACTTTGATTATTCACAAGTGTATTCTCAATATCCAAATTCTTTAAATTTGAGAGGTATAAGCAACCCTGAAGGAGGGGTTTAGTTTCAACAGAATTTTTACAACTTAAACCCAGTATTATTTCTTTGGTATCCCCTTCTCCCCCTTTTTTGTGTCTTGTAGCTCTGCCACAGTCTGAAATATGAATAACTCAACTGATTACTGGACTGGGGAAGAAGAGGATGATCTCAACCATGTTATTGATTACACTTCATACGAACTTCTCTGTGAGAAAAGCGATGTAAGGAAGTTCACCAAATTATTCCTTCCTGTGTTCTATGCACTGGCTTTCACCGTCGGAGTCGCTGGAAATTCATTAGTGGTTGCAATTTACGCCTATTGCAAGAAACCGAAGACTAAGACAGATGTGTACATCATGCACCTCGCCATCGCCGATTTGCTCCTGCTCTTCACCCTCCCTTTTTGGGCTGCAAGTGCAGTGCAGGGGTGGGAACTTGGAAACTCACTGTGCAAGCTCACTTCTTCTCTGTACACCATGAATTTCAGCTCCAGCATGCTGTTCCTGGCCTGTATCAGTGTTGACAGATACAGGGCCACTTCTGAATCCCAGGGCCGTAGAACAATCGGCAAATACTGCAGCGTTACCTGCATCTGTGTCTGGTTGTCTGCCATTTTCCTCAGTATCCCTGAACTGGTATTTAATCAGGTCAAGAAACACAACGACAGGAACGAATGCCTTCCTGTATTTCCAACGAACATGGAAACACTCTTAAAGTCAACCATTCAAATCCTGGAAATTATCCTGGAATTTCTGCTTCCTTTCCTAGTAATGCTGATCTGCTATTCCGCTACCGCTCGGGCAATCTTTAGATCTGCAAATGTTAAGAAGTCTAGACCTTTCGTGGTTCTGCTGGCAGTAGTGGCTGCTTTCATAATCACTCAGCTACCTTACAACATTGTGAAGTTCTGGCGAGCCATAGATATCATCTATATGTTGATTACTGACTGTGATGCAAGTAAAACCATAGATGTTGCACTCCAGGTCACCAAGAGCATAGCTTTGTTTCACACCTGCCTGAACCCTCTTCTCTACGCCTTTCTGGGTGCTTCTTTTAAAATGCATATTATGAAAATTGCAAAAAATTATGGGTACTGGAGAAGACAACAGCAGAATGGAAGACACGAAGAAATTTCTATGAATTACGAAGACCAGACTGAAGAAACAATTAGTTTCACTATATAGACTCTCCATTACTTTCCACATCATATATAACCAAGAGATTTGATCACTAATTCTAGGGAGGTATTGTTTCAGCATCTGTTTCTCTGCAGGTCAACTTTCAGATGAATTTTTGAACCTGTACACTAGCCAAGACACTACAGTGCAGCTCAAAGTGGAACAGGTTTATCAGAATGATGCATCATACAAGGACTAGATACTGAAATTCCTAGAAACAACTAGAGATACTTACTAAACAACAACAAAAACTCAAACAAAAAAACCCCACCACAACACAACCCAAACACCTAAAAAAGCCAAGACTGAGATTTTAACATGGCTGTGTAATGAACAATCTGTACAAGTGTAAACATCTAATTAAAACAGAGAAGGAAACCTTCATCAATAAAACAGCAGTACAGGAACTTTTGTACCAAAATTTAATACTCTTGTGTTTCTTCTATCTTGTAAAACTTTAGAACATCTGCCTAATAACCGAGATCCATTTTTCAACTCAACTATCATTCCATATCATTCCTTGCATCTTGAAATTATACGTAAATTTGTGGCTGAGAGTTGAGAGGAATAGAGGGGGAGAAAAAGTCATTCTCTGTGTGCTTCCATGTATGTATAGCAATGACAACATCCTCCACAAAAAGCAGCGACACCTTCTCCATCACTACAGAAAAATGACTTTTCACCTCTCCTTTTCTGCTTACCCTCAACTTCAACAAGGTCAGTGCTCTATGGGAGGCACATTCTAGATCTCTGTAAATGTAAGAAAAAGTTAAGGTAATCTCCAGATACAGGGCTTGGAATTTCTATTTAGAATTTTTAAATTAATCAAGCACTGCAATAACTGTATCTGCTAAAATACATGGAGATTCAATAAAGTCAAAGAATAAAAAAATGCACTGGCTTCTGTTTATTTGCTCTTTATGTTTGGTTTGTTTTGTTTTAGTAGGTACTGGCATCTCTCATCATCATAGGCATTTACCGACCAGCAAAAAGTAGAAACCCTGCTTGACAAATCAGAGAGGCTCTGTCTCTATATGGAGCTCATGGATTTATGGTTTTCACACAGAGAGGTATCAAAGCTGTCTCCTGCCACAGTGTTGGCAGGGATTCCAGGAAAACAGCAGTTTTCTGTGAGCCACTGGAAGAATTTCAAATACACTGACATATTAGCTTAGCTTTCAAAAAGGAAAATGTGGTGTTGCAGCATATTGTCCTTGTCTTCAAACATCCTGTGGGCTCTGACAAAATGCCTGATCTACGGCTTATGAAAGCCAAAAAGAATCATTTTTAGACACTGTTCCTAGTTACACAACTGTGAACTGGAAGGAAAAGCTCCAAAATGACAGAAAACAGGAGCACAAACAAGACATGAACCTCTTCTCCCTGTTTGGATGACAAAAGCTTGCAGAATTTCTGCCCAGTGTTTTGAGAAATACGATGGCATGAATGGGTAAGTCAGAAGTGCCTGACAGAAGGTCTACAAATGCACCATAAATCTGACATATTTAAGCCATAGTGGATTTACTGTACACATGCAGAACACCCATGCAGAGTATGGAAAGAAACTCCAGTTCTTTCACAAAGTAACTGACTCCTTGCATGTGTGATTCATGGCTTGTCTTAACAGAGTGGCTGCTCACAGGCCAACATTCTGATCAGGCTATCAGGCTTCTGGAATTGCCAAACATCCAACATCCTAATGTTCCACTCAGAGTAAAAAGGAAAAAAACCAAAAAAAAACCCAACCAAAAACAAAAGAACCCAACCAAACAAAACAAAAACCTCCAAAACAAACAAAAAGACTCTAAGACAGTTGAATGAATGTTGCTTCTCAAACTTCTTGAAATTGCAGAGCCTTTTATGTCTCTGTCTTTATGCAAATCTGACTGTCCGAATTGTTTTTATTAGAATTAAAACAAACCAAATCATGCTTACTTTATGTTAACTATCCCTTTTATAATTCACATAACTAATTCTATGAATGTTATTTTGTGTGTACGACCTCCTGCAAACTTTCCCCTTGCTTTCTCAGGGACTGCAGTGCACAGCTGGGACACACTGACCCAAAGCAAAGGTAGCAGCCAGCACGTAAGCGACACTTTTGAGCCAGGGGACAAAATGCCATGCCTCCTGTTTTACAGGAGTAGAAAAGGGAGAGAGGTCTATCTTCTGGTGAGTCTCGGTATTGCACAATCGTGTATCAGTAGGTAGGTGATTCATTCACTCTTGTATGTGAATGAAACATTCAAGTTTCACAACTCGGTTTATTTACTTGGCTTCCAAACTCCCACAGAACGATGACTTTCAAGTTGCTGTCACGCATGTTGTGGCAAAATTGTAACAGTACTACAATATTAGGGACATTTACCACTTATAGTAAAATCCATTGATTTTACTGGAAATTATCAAATGAGAAAATCTCCCAAAATAGTCAGCCCAAGAGCATCACAGGCTACTTTAAAAAACAGCCACATTTTACTGTAACTACACAGTAGACACAAAACTCACACCCAAACTGCCAAAGACAGCTTCATAAAAACAAAGTTTAAAGGGCATGGCCATAAATGTGTGAGTTACCTGATAGAAAGACACAATGCTTAAAGAACAATAGTGGCATACGTTCTGTGAACAAAATTCCGAGGCTCCAAAAAGCATCCAAACCTCCAAATTGAATTTGTCTTGGACTTTGATTCATAGCACAAAAGCTCAAGTTAGCTCTTTCTGTTGTTTTAAATTCCATTGCCTTTACTCAAGAAAAGACAAATTTCCACCTCAGAAATGAAGCATAAATATTTTTAACGGTTCTTTGGAAAAAAATTTAGGCTTAGCCATTCTTATTTAAGGTTTCCACACTTACCACTGCTCCACCACTTCTTGCCATTGATCACATAACTGTTTCCATCTCGCTCAATGCTGCATTGCATATTGGTGGCATCACTTGAAGCCACATCAGGTTCTGTGTTAAAGGAAAAAAACAAAACCAAACCACTGGGTTAAATAAAGAAGCAGTACTACCTCCACAAATATAGGGCTCTAGATATACTCTAACAGTAACACAGTTTTGCTCCCAGTAGGAAAGCTGTTTTCAGAACCTCACTGCTCATGGTCAAAAGACTTTCTATTTTCCAACAACCTGTTATTCATAGCCAGTTTAAATGTACTTGTTCTCGGGATCAGATTATCCATTATGATCAACAGCCTTCTTCCTTTCCTGATGTTTTCAAATCTTTTATCCTTCTAATGTACTTAGAGGTTTTTTCTTCTCCTGGGCTCTTCTCAAGTGAAAATGAAGAGATTGAAACTAATTTTATGCTAGTACATGAAATAGACTATTGTTGTCAGCAAAATGTCATCAATGATTATTTGGAATAGGAAAGATTCTCCCTCTTGATTATTTGGAATAGGAAAGATTCTCCCTCTCTCCTTTCACCATTATTTTTTTTTTAATAGGCACAAGGTTTTGCTTTAAAGTAAAAGCATCTCCTTCCTCTCGGGGAACACAGTGAAACAGAATTTGCAAAATAAGGGTCCAGCTCTGAAAGGATGAGTTCTCTTGACTCCTGACACAGGAAGATCAAGATTCTGACATCACACATTCCAAAAGCTACCTTCCTATAGCAAGAGCCAGATTTTCCAAAGATGATGAATGCCACAAGCTTTCAAAAGCACAAATGATTACAATGCTGAGCTATGGACATAAAGCAAGTTACCTCCAGGTTCTATCCTAAAACCTCTACCTATGACATAGTGCAAAACTACACAACTTTAATCCTAATAATTATACTTGCATCTGTGTTTCTAAAGAACCCCAAAGCACATTACAAGAAAGAGTGAGCTCTATTGTAAATCTGTTTGGTACTATAAAATGTACTTTACTAGAACTAAAAATAAACTGAAGATATATAGAAAGTATTGTAACCATGAAAAACAGTAACTACTGGGGAAGGGCAGCAAGGATGCTTCACTCTGCATTCACACCTCATAGATTTTATATTCAAACACATTCACAGATACAACGGAAATTTCTGTATTAATTCATTAACACACAACGTGCACTTTTCTACTTTTTGCATATACCATTTGAAGTTTCTGCCAATTGCCTCTAACTTTCTTCTGGAGAAAAATTTACCTGTCATGCAGAAGCAAGAACTAATCTTCCCTTCCAGGAGAGGCTCCAGCCACTCTTTCTTTTGCTCTTCAGTCCCATACATGTGGAGGACCTCCATGTTTCCAGTGTCTGTAAGAAATCAGCAGTCATGTTTTACTTGTAAGTAAACTTGTAAGGTGCAAGATGACCAACTTTTTAATGCTCTCAGTGCTGTAGTTTAGGGACAGGGCTGCTAACCTGGTGCATGACAGTTAAAAACTTCAGGAGCAATGAGGCATTTCCCTGTCTCCTCAGCTATTAGGGCGTAGTCAAGCTGGCTGAGACCACTGACATCTGGAAGAAAAAGGTTCCACAGACCTTCTGCTTTTGCCATTTCCTGTTGCAAGAATCAACAGAGAAAAATACCAGTAATAAATCTCAAAAAAACCAGAAAAATAAATTCTGGCTTGCTAGACACTTCCTTCCTTCCTGCTGTCTAATATATCTCGTGCCTTTTTTCAATAGCTATTTTGAAATAACAGGGAATATCTCTGATTGAAAATTCAGACACATCCCTCGCAGAACACACTTAGTTTTACTCTTCCCTCGTTTCTCTCACCTTTTGCATACTTCTCTCTTCCTTTCACTATTCCTCACACTGTTTCTTTCCACACAGAGTAACTTCTCCAGCATGATATGCCAAATACTCTTCCCCTCTATGTCTGTGCTCTTTTACTGCTAGAATGCTAAGAATATTTACTGTCCCATACCTTCAGTCTCTCAAGCAGAGGTGGTTTCTTCCATTTTTCCTCAGTATTTGCATGCTCAGTATAGTATTTTATTATTTCCTTAGGGAAACAATTAAAAAGATGCTGTTTAAATTAAGAACACACGTAACACAGAAATAATAATATGATGTCTCTTCCAGCCCTGTGCACCAAAAAACCAATTAAAAAAATATTCAACATAGGTTTTCATTATAGTTGTATTATAAAATTAAATATATAATTGAAAACCAAACTGCAACCTATTCGCTTTGCAAGACTTGAAATGCATCATCGAGATGACCCCAATCAATGCCTTATTTCATACAATTATTTGGGTTGGTTTAAAGTATGTGATGATGATGCTAGAAGATCAGTATTTTCTGATGATAAAAGTACCTGTTACCAGTAGTAAAGGCATGAACCCAGAAGTAAAAGCACAAATGAAAGCCTGACATAATGACACTAAAGATTCAGGTTTCCTGTCACAACATTCAGATATATAAGCCAGTTAATCTTTAGCTAACTGAGAAAAACCCCACAAAGAATACATTTTCTCTTCCTGTCAAAATAATTCCTTAACAGATTATGTAAGCAGTCATTCCGAGCACAAGTGATTATTAGGAAAACTATAGTCTTAGTATTTTCACAAGTATGTTTTAGTGAGGCACAGAACTTCAAATGTGGCCCAGAACTAGTTAAAGAATGAATAAAATAACACCCTCTTCTGAAAATGACACAATAAGACAAATGCCCAAGTAAAATTTAGAAGTCCTGATTCACAATTCTTGTTATCAGAAATAACTTACAAGCACAACACTACTCATCTGCAAAACTCTGTGGTCCACTTATTTTTAAAGCAAGTACTTTGATTACTGGCAAGGCTTCCTTGGACAGTCCTGAACTACAACCCAAAACCAGTCACGGCAAACTTTTAAGAAACTTTGCATATAAAGAGTTACTGCCCTTAACCCCTTCTCGTGACAGGTAGATGCATTCATATATCTTTTCAATTAATATGATCTCTGCATTTCTGCCTGACTGCCAAAAACAAACAAATAAACAAACAAAAACCAAGAAAAACCCCCAAAAGAGAAAGCCAAAGAAACCAGTTCTGCAAGAGAAGTCATCTGTGCTTCCATAAGGCTAAAAGCTGAACCAGCTTTCTAAGTGGAAAATTTCTAATCTTCCTAGGATAAGAGGTAAAATGATTCATCTCATTTTCCCTTCCACTAATTATTGACTTCTGTGTGTATTTCATTATCTGATTTCAAACCTTCACTGGTATTAAATATATTCAGGAATGAGGCTACATTGCTACATTACCTGATCCCATTTTTTGTCAGAAAAGTCACAGCTTAAAAGAGAAAGCAAGAAACAGAAACACTCAGCTTCATATGGTTTAAAACAGCAATTCCCATTTTTAAATCAGCATCTTTCCATTATTATGTAAGAGTTCTAGGTTTTTGTTAGTGTTAAAGTATTTTAGCAAATTCCTTTAAAAAGTAACTCTTACTAAAGAGAGAAATTTTTACACTTCAAAAAGTTTAACAAGTCACTCAGCTTTCATTAACAATGCATACAACATTTTAATCCTGAAAAAAAAAAAAGACAATAATGATTTCTGCTAATTTTTCTCAATGTCATAAATATCACTACATGAAAATAAGGCTGTTTTGGAAAAAAAAAACCCAAACAAGAAGATATGACTTTTTTTACATTTTTATAAAGTCTAGTCTGAAAATGTTCCCTTACAAATAGGTTAACTAAAAGCTTTTACCTTCTCAGCTGGATAGATGTGCTGCTTCATGAACTGCTTGACCTTCAGCAAAACCTCTTGGCCTTTCCTACTTTGATGGAAGAGCTCTCCAGAAACGTGCTGTGTGCTGCTGAAAGATGACCTG